CTTTTTTTTTCTTTGTATCCTGTACTCTAGCTGAGAAAAATTTTCTAATCCTTATCTTATAGAGTTTCTACTCCTCTAGCATCCTGCAATTGAGTTGGATTCCCGGTATGGTCTCACATTCGATCCCGATCCGGCAATTAATAAGATCTTGATATTTCAAAATATTTTTAAATATATGTATCCACAATTATGATATTTGGCATCGACATCAAGTAAATTCTGAATCACTTGCTTTTTTTTGTTGCTGTTTATGAAAGAAACTAAATAGTATACTTTGAAAATCGTACTGTAAAAGTATTGGTTGGATGTCGATTAGCTCCGGTACTTCTAGAATTATTAGAAAAATAATATTTGATGAATCTTTAATTATGTATTCAAAAACTAGAAATTAACATTTTCTTATTACTTATACAATTATTCTATATATAGTTATAAATATTTTGATGTTTTTAGATATCATGTTTATGTTGTTATGGTTGGACAAAAAAAGTTTAGAATTTAGAAATTCATTTATTAGCAAATTTTCTAATTTGATAGTAAAATTCTAATGGCATGCACATTTTGTAATAGATTGAGAATTATTCTCTTGTTTTAAGTGTATTTTCTAATAAAGAATGCTTTATTTTTACAGCTGTTTCATATTTCAAATAAATATATTTTTTGTATAGTCAAAAATTTAAAAAAAAATACTTCAAGAAAGAATATCGTTAATTTAACATTCAAACAACACAGTTTTATACCTTAACTTGATGATGAATATTTTGAAATAGATAATGATAAAATCAGAAATAATAGAAAAAGCTCGACAATATTCATTACTATCTTACGAAGAAACAATCATTTTTATTTTTTAATAGAAATCTAAAATATTCTAATAGAAATATTTTATCTATTTTTTTTTTGAAGAAAAACAAAATCGATATCTACTTAAATTAAAATATATGACCAAGAACAATAAATGATTAATATATATTTAATTTTTCGTTCGATTTCCTCTTGAGATACATATCTTCATAAACGAGAATAATGTCCCCAAGCATCAACTAAAGCTCGACCCAGCGAGTCATACTTTAAAAAGTCGCAGTTCATTCTGATTCGATAATTTATCGTCAAGATTGTCTGAGAAATGTGTATGGGACATGTTAGCCATCGAATACAAATAATCAATAAAAAGAATTTCGCATCTTTGGAATGTCCATCAGACAAACAAAAAAAAACAAAATTTCGTTTGAAATTTTGAGTATAGTTTCGGTCGTCGCGATTGATCCTATTGCTCATGATAAGTGTATTAACAAATAATCGTATTCTTCAAAATAGCAATTCTCCTTCATTATGAATATTTATTTTCGTGTACAAGAAAAAAAAGCAAAAATGTATTAATGATAAATGTTTTTCTTGCTTTTTTTTTACACAATAGTCTATGAATTTAATGAAAAAGGAAAAAAAAAAAAACACATCATCATCATCATCATCATCACTATTTACTGTTTATAATCGTAGTGATGGTTTATATTGTTAACATTATTATTATAATAAGATATTACATTTGTATTCACTTTCGACAATTATATATATATATGAAATATGTATGTGTATTATAATTTAATTGGCTGAGCAAATTGCTCGCCGAATTCCAAGATAACCATATACGCAAAGAACAATAATAAGAAGAGCATGACTATAAAATATCTGTTCAGCTCCACTACCTAAGCCGTTGACTTGTCTGACGGCATCAGCCCATCCTCCTACAAAATCACAAAAGAAAAAGAAAACAAAAAAAAAATTTCGGTTTTTTACTTGTATATACAGCTAATGCAATCATGGTAGCAAACAGACCCCAAATAGCAGTAACAATTAAACAGCAGGAACATGCTGCAAGAGCACCTATTGGACCAAGTACAGCACCTAAAGAACTTGCCATTGATGAGTATTTAGTTTATTCACACACTCGTTTGTCTACAAGAGACAAAAATAAAGAAAAAAATATTATTAATCTCTAATGGTCAAATTTTATATCTCTATATTTCTTCTTTTTTTTCTATCGTACGACTGGAAATGAATATTCACATGCTTAGATAGTAGACAACAAAAAAAGAGGTGAAGAAAGAGACAGAAGAAAATTTTTCTACTCTCTCTGAATATACTCATATAGAGCTCGGTAATACAGGTTTCTCTCTCTCTTACATACATATACTTTTTTCTCTCGGTTTTTTTTTTATGTCAGTCATATCTATCGACTCAAGGTATACACCTACCTTAGTAAGTGGTTCCTAAAAATAGTCAAAGATGAAGCTTTTTTTTCTTCATTTATGTGTCTATTCAACCGTGTATATATACCATTACAACCTAACCAAAAAAAAAAGGACATTTACATACTGATATCACCTAAATGAAAGAAGAGAATATGATGTGGGAAACTATGCATGACAAAAAAGAAATGTATGACAAATATGTTAGAAAGTTGAATGGTGAGAAAGAAGAAAAGAAAAACAATCGTAGAAGTATTGTTAAAAACAAACAAACTAATATCCATTTCAAATTAAAAGAAGGTCGGTTGTTTTTTGAATAACTTTTAATAGGAATGAGATGAAGATCTGTGATTTTCACCATTCGAAAGAGGAGATGAAACTGTATCGAACTGTACAGATCAGATTTTTCTGAATAGGTTTTTTGAAACCTTCAGTCAGGTTTTGCAAAAAAATTGTGCTATTTCGTCGGTTGAAAACACACATTTCTCATCAAAAACTACGAAAAAAAGTCGTTTTTTTTTGTGAAAAAACTCAGTAAAATATCTATAACTCACGATTGATTGAAATTATCGACGTCAGACTTGTACAGTTTATAGAACTTTTGTTGGATGTCCTGATGCACTCCTTAAAATTAAGTTTACAAAACTTTCACATGACTCAATATTTTGTTTTCGATAAAGTTGACTGAAGGTCTTAGGAAACCATCTCAGAAAAATCCGATCTATATAGTTCAGCGCAGTTTCATCTCCTCTTTCGAATGGTAAAAACCGTAGGTCTTCATGTCATTCCTATCAAAAGTTATTCAAAAAACAACTACCCTTCTTTTAATTTGAAATGGACATTAATTTAAGATTTGTACTTTTTAATCTAGTCTAACTATATTATCATCAATTCAAGATCATTTAGTTAATAATAATAATAATAATAATAATAATATTAAGTATATAATATATCATTTAGTGTTTTCTTATTGCATACTTTCAATTTATTGATAGCGTCCGAATTTTTATTTGAATGTATGAAGATAAAAAAGGAAATAGAAAAATATTAGATAAATAAAACGAAATATTGAACATGATCACATTTTGTAATTTTCGATTACATATGAATTAAAATTGTTGTTGTTGTCGTCGTCGTCGTCATCATTGTCATTTGCCATGTTTTTCTTTACGGTTTTAGAAAAAAAAAAAGAAATTCAATGATGCATATCACGCGCACGAGTTCCATGGTTTTTTATCAATAAGTAGACAACAAAAAAAAATTCGTTGTGTTGTAAAAGAAATAAGTATAAACAAAAATAAAAAAAAGAAATTTGAAGCCATTTTGTTATATTAAAGATATAACATCATAAATACGAAAAAACGACTAAGTCGTCGTTTAATTTATCTATGAACGACGCATGTACGTGAACAAAAACGAACATACGAGTACTAATAAAAGAAGCATATGTGGTACAACAAGTTCATCGGCACCATTTAGTCCATTACGGCTCCTATAATCACGTAACCATTGACCTTGAAGAAAAATTAATTCTAGAAAAAGAAGAAAACGATATATATATTGAAAGAACTTACTGATAAACACAGTCAATGGGATAGCCGTAATAAATAGACCCCATATGCTTATAGTATTAAGACAACATAAACACCCAGTAAGACCCCCAATAGGTCCAAGAATACCTGCAAGAGCGCCAGTACCACCGGGTCCTGCACCAACTGGTGTTATTGGTGGTAGTATTTGTCGAGGTCCATAACGATCACCTAATGGTCGAATATAAGATGAACGATAAATTTGACGAGATCCACCAGCACCAGGCACATATTCTATAGAAAATAAGATAATTGAAATATTTCAATTAGAAACTATATATAGATATTTTTCGTTTACGCACGTCCTCGTGGTCCTGTATATCCACCGCCTGGAGCTTGAAGCATATCCGCAGATCAGCAGGCGGTCTCTTACTTTTCTATAATAACATGAAAAAAAAAAGACAAAATACAAAAGAGCCTTTTTCACTATCTTGATGAGCTTCTTTAAGAATATTTTAATTTTTTTTCTGTTTTTTTTTACTGTCTTTCCAATGTATATATCTCTCTCTCTCTCTCTTTCTTTCTCATTGCTACTCGATTGACTGAAGGCAATCATTCTGCCGTGTATCTATGTCTACATTGTATACGTACTACAGAATGCATGAGAGAAGTAGGAAAGTGTAAAAAAGACATGACGAATTGTACAATACTCAAAAAAAGACAAGAAGAGAACACGTCACACGTCAGCAAACAGCTCAATAATGGTAATTTCTGTTGATTGTAATGACATATTTACAAAGTAAAACCATGACTTTGACATTTTCGTGTATCAGAAATAACGAAACAACATTACACGATTAATAATATATACACGATGCATGCACAACTGCTTGTGTAGGTGCAACAAATTTGTGCAAGGTTAGACAAAAAAAAAACGAAATAAATTGGAAAAATGAATGATGTTTGAACGCATGGACATATTCACTATTGTCTTAACGCTTCATTGAATTTTTATTTTTATAAGAAAATGTTAATGCATGTATATATGTATGAAACAATAAGAAAAGAATTAAATAAAAAGATAAATATTTTAAATTGGACAAAAAAATTATTTTATTCAGAAGAAGAAGAAGAAGAAGAAAAGAAAAATATATGTTTGCATGTATGTATCGTGCAAAGTTAATTTTTAATACGATTGTTTTGTTGTTTGTGATTTTTGAACTCAAACAGTATTACGAACATTATTTTTGACGTTACTACCACGGACAGTAGCAGGTCGAGGTGCAACAGTTGGTTTTCGACGAATTGTAACTACACGTTTTATTGTTCGACGTCGTACTTGCGAACCTAGATTAGCACCGTTTCCATTGTTAGAACTTACCAAACCATTATTAGGAGAAACATTCGGACGAGGTGTGGCATTTCCTTGAACTTTAAATAAAATAAATGTTTATTTATATATAATAAAGTAAAATATCTTTACCATTTGTATTACCCAGACCTGCATTGTTTGATTGATTGACACCTGAAAATAATATTAAGACTTTTTTTTTCTTAACAAATTATTACATTTATCTATTACCATTTGTTGGTCGATTAGCAGCATTTTGAGAAACTCCTATATTGTAAAGTATAAATAAAATTTATAACTTGTTATTTTACATACCTATTCACAAAAATAAAACAGAAGAAGTGCATAAGATTAAAACAAAAAAAATTTGAATGTTTAACTAACCTAATCCATTATTTCCAATTGCTGGTGTTGTTGTTATTCCAATATTATTTGTAAGTGCTATTCAATAAACAAAATATTACATTGTAAGAAAAATGTTAGAGACTAAAAAACAAAAATCAAATGATCACTTACGAGCTGTTGTTATTGGTGCAGCAGCTAATCCATCTATAAAAATAAAAAAATAAAAAATAAATTTCTTAAGTAAAATTACTAGTAGAATTATTCGTATTCTGAATAACAGGACAACATGGATAACAAGCAAAGACTGAAAGTGCTTCAGCAACTTGTTGAGCTACTGAATCATAAATTGAACACATTGCTTGTGCTGATGCTGGCATACATCGTGGACATATTTGTTTTAAACATTGAACCATTTCGTCATTACAAACTTTACGTGTAAACATACATGAACTAAAACACATACGATGAAGACATGTACATTCTCGATATTGTTTTGCATAACATCGAAGTGATACAAATGAACGACCATGTCGTTCCCAAAATGGACATATTCCATTAGAACATGTTTTAGTACCACGAACAAAACGTAAATAAGTATAAGCTGATTGTTTCATTGGTGCTTTTGTACGACGTCCATTATTAACTACAACACGACGATTTGTTGTAGTTGAATTGACCACAACAATAGAAAAACAGAATAAAAGTACTAGACTAATATGCATGTTGTTTTTTTGGAAGTCTGTTGAATATTGTTTGAAATAATAATAGAAAGACTAATAAAAAAAGAAAAGAAAAAAAGAAGAATCAAAATGTTGGTTACTTGTGGTTAGAAACACGTCATTTATATGCCGATTAATTTCTGTTGCGATATTATTTTGAGATTAATTATGTACGTGACAGAACATTGTTGTTCTTTTTTTTGCTTCATGAATTACAAGACCTAAGAACAAAATATATGTAGAAGTCACACCTAAATCATAGGCTTGAACCTTTGACACTCAAGTTATGTTGATGATGAAAAAAAACAAAAATGTTTATCCGACATATTTTCAAGTGTTGAAAACATAATATGTAAGACGTTTTATATCCATTGACCTTCCATAATTTTAAACTTTTTTTTTAACATTCTCATATATATGTGTTTAAAATAAAATAGACGTGATCTAATATTGTTTTTGAATGAAAAGGTCATCGAACGATTTGATTTTTTTTTTCTTTTTTCATCATTTATTATTGTTAATAGTTAAAATAAGTCAAGACAATATTTTAAATCGAAAATAAAGAAAACGACAACTCAAAGTTAAGCCACAAGATCAAATCTAAATAACATCAAAACAATGATTTAAAATGTCAACGAACTGCTATGAATAAATGCGCCAAGGTTTTATTTTTCTTTCGATACGATACAATTTACATAAGTAGAAGATAGTTGCTCACTGGAATACAGTATTTTATCCAAATTTTCTCTTCCGAAGAGACGATTTAAAGCTCCGAGAGGACGGACGCCTATTATCGGAAGCACAGACACATAGTATGTAGTACAATAACCAAAATCTTCGAAAGGACAATGCTCCCTCTGCCCTCACACTAGATAACACACCATTCGAATTGGTGGCGTATCCAGGATTTTTCAGTATGTTGGATTTCACCTTCAGAGCATGGGATCAAGATGAAACTTATAGAGGTATGATATGGGACCCAAATGATGATTTTTTATCAAAACATTTTTGTAATAGGGGTTTGCGAAAAAAATTAGCATTTTCCTGAGACCCTTCAAGATTTTTCTTTTACTATTTGTAGTATTCTAGTTTTTAGAATTTAAGAGTAAGCTACATCGAAATTCATCGACAGATTTCAAATTTCAGCTAAAAATATGCATCCGTTACCGAGTTACAATGTTTTTAAAATTTGCTGCATGCTGTCAAAATTTTAGAAAAAATTCAAAACATTGTAACTTGTGAACGGATGCATATTTTTAGCTGAAATTTGAAATCTGTCGATGAATTTCGATGTAGCTTACTATTAAATTCTAAAAACTAGAATACTACAAATAGTAAAAGAAAAATCTTGAAGGGTCTCAGGAAAATGCTAATTTTTTTCGCAAACCCCTATTACAAAAATCTTTTGATAAAAAATCATCATTTGGGTCTCATATCATACCTCTATAAGTTTCATCTTGATCCCATGCTCTGAAGGTGAAATCCAACATACTGAAAACTCTTGGATACGCCACTAGCGAATACTAGCTTGCGAAAGATGGCGATGTGGATTTTTCTCTTCAATTATGTTCTAATCGTTTGTGGCATGTATATTTTCTAGAGTATTTACATTTCTAAAGAATTTTTGTGTTGCTTCTCCGATCAATAATATTAATGAATAACCATTGTGTATTCACAAATGTACGTCTTTTAAAGGAGTTTTAATATAGCAACTGACATAATTCCTTGATTTTCTTCTAAGTTGTTGATATTTTTTATGAATAGGACGGGTTAAAGATTCGGTAGAAAGTACATTTCATTCTTGAAGTACTAGAAGTGATGACTGAGGAGAAGAACGAAATCCACCGTGGTCTGATCTTTTCCACAATAGACAACCTGCCATCAGATTGTTCTTTCCTCAAACCTATTCCCTCGCAACGAAATTATCTGTTTATTTTTTATTTCACTCTCTGCTAGAAGAAGGCTAGTGATATTTTAAAAATCCGGCTTCTATCTAAGTTACCACAAAGCTGTAAAAAAATTGACAGAAATTCGAACATTTTACGAGGAAGAGGAAGCTTTGGCTATGTTTCTTCCTCGATTGAGAATCCTGATTCTATACCATGATTTCATAGATAAGCTATGATGGCAAAATTTCTCAAAAGCCACACACGATAGTTTTCAAGTATCAAAAGCTTATCATTTTAAAGAGCACAAAATTCTGAAGAAAATGAGAGATCGCTGCATTTTCTACGACCTTCTCTAAGAAAGTTCAAAGTGTCACAAAAGATATAAAACGACGAATTTTATCAAAAGGTCGACTAAAAAAAAATCTCTTTTGTTGGTTTTTGTGGTAGTTTTAACTTTTCAAGGAAAGGTCGCAGAAAATACGATGACCCTTCATTTTGTTCAAAATTTTATGCTCTTTAAAATGGCATTATTAAAAAAAGAAAAATAACTTCTGGAAAGTGAAAACTACTATATCCACTTGTTTAGAAATATTGCCGTCGTAGTTCATCTATGAAATCTTAGTATAGAATGCATTAACAAGCAAATGTCCATTTCCCAATTTACGTAATATATATATTTTAAAAATTATCCTTCAAATTTCTTTCTTAAATATTGTATCTTAATATTTTTCATAAAGAAATTCTTATTAAAATATTCATTAACGTAATTCATCCTTGTTATATGAATTGAATATTTTATTCGTACTACATGCTACACAATCAACGATTAAAATAAACTTCATTAAGCAATAGAAGACTTCGAGTCTTCTATTTTTGTTTATAATTATTAATTATAAGAATTTTTAGAATTTTAAAAGCTTCGAAATGATATTGACTTTACTATCTTTTAAAGTTTTCTAGCTCACAATCTTGAAAACTAATGTCCATGTCAGAATAAAGGAGGATTATGTAATAATCCGAATAATTCGGCAATGACAACAGTTAGCGACCTGAGGTTTGCACCAATCCAAAGAGGAGAAGTTCGAATATCTTTTTATCTGATACTATACATGAGAAAATTATTTTAAAGCCCATCGTTCTCGCAGGACATTCAAAGAAATGAATGAAAACTGTGTTTTGTTTGAAGTAAATTTCGATAAAAAGTCAGAAAATTTGCTAAAAATCAACAGAATTCTATTTTATTTGATCGAGTAGATATGCGATTTGTTTTCTCAACATTGAGATATAAGAAGATAATTATCTGAATCATGCTTTGAAAAATAGAACTAAAGTCTTACTATCTGAAGCACATGTCAAAATCGAAGCAAAACATTGTTTTCATGTATTCTTTAAAAATATTTTGCAAAGATTATAAGTTTTAATATAATTTTCTCATATATAGTATGAGAACAAAAAGTCGTCTGAAATCCCCCTCTTTCGATTGCTGAAAACTGTAGATCGTTACCTGTTGTCATTGTCGAGTTATATCCGACTCTCGTTAATTTTAGTGCTAATATTAGGTACATTTTATTGTAAATATAGAAACTAATGTTCCAATTTTGAGAAAAATATTTAATTAAGAAATATCTTCTATGGACACCATGAACAAGTGTGTACAACATAGGAAGACTAACAAAATCAAAAGGCGGAAATGTTTAAATTAAATATTCATAATACGATTACAATAACTCGTGGAATATATTTAAAAATTTATTGACTATGCATGTCATATATTGCGTTTTACGTAAAATGAACATTCATAAAAGTATATAATACTTTTAAAATATATCAGAATAAATAATGATCAATCATAAATTTTCTTTGATTGAAATTGTTCAATAATCATCTACAAAAATATTTATTTATGATTTTAAGTGCATAGATAACTATTGGTAAATTCTGATTTTTTTAAAATCAATTATTATGATTTTATTGATAATCATTTACATTGCAAACTTCATCATGTCTATTTCTTCATAAACAAAAAGAGAAAAATGAGAACAGAACACATTTACTCTTATTCATAATCAACATGACAAATAAATATATGTCATACAATATCAATTAAGTTCTACATGTAAATACTTCAATCATAGGTACATATAAATATTATTGACAAAATAAATTCTATCATAATAACACTTTTTATTAAGTTTATTATATTTAAAACAATTCATCAAAATCTAAAGATTATCAGAATAAAATTGTTACTTGCACAAAAATCTTTTGTATTTCATTTTCGTTTATATACGATTTCAAATATTCGACCATTATTTAGCAAAGATTATTATTTGTTTGCTTAGTAAAATTTATATCTACCAGAACTGCCAACAGGCCACTTTTTTCCTTACTTGGTCTACTCTAGCTCGAAATACCTACAGGTAAGACTAAAAATCACAAAGTGGCCTACAAGCCAAGTGAGACCGATTAATATTTCTGATTTTTCTCGAATACATTTAATTCTTTAACTCGACATTAATGTATCATTCTAGTTTCAGTCGTTCACTTAATTGATTTCCTTAAGGATAAAATAATAACAAGTTTTTGAAGGCGTAGAATCAAATGTGTTATGAATATCAGGAAAAAAGTTTATTCTATTAGCTTATTACTGCGGACGTACTGTATTTTGTGAAATGACTGTTGTGGTTCCCTTCGGAAACATCAGAGAAAATTGATTTTGGAATTCCGACTTGAAACTTTGCATAGATACAGGCCTTAACGAGAGTAGTTTATTTTTTAATTGATCCAATTCTAAAATATGAACATTAAATCTATCGGTTTATATGAACAATGTGAAAGATACACTATTGACATAGTTAAAGCTTAGGATAGAAATATCAACAAGTTTTCTGATGTTCTTGAGGAGCAGGACACGGCATTCATTTTTAACAATACTATAATAATGCAATATTTTCGCATCCATAAACTAACTCCATGAACTCTTTTCAAAGTATCCATAGCTCATTTATATCTATATAATGTACATAGTCTCAGCAAACAAGTGTTTTTCATCAGTTGGAGAACTTTCCGCGTTATTTATGTGATTGTAATCAGTATAATAACTTTTACTATTACTCTGTATTAATAATTTAATACAAGTCTAATGTATAGCATCGGTTTAAATTTTGAAATCTAGTAAGTTTTGTAGAGCATAATTTATGCTTCCGAATGAGGTCTAGCTGCTTTTTGTAAAATGTATAATTCAATTGATACAATAGATTTAAATTGATGAAACACTTAATTCCAGAACAACAATGAAATTACTCAGAAAAAGCAAAAGCGCTGGACCGACTATAATATTACACGTATATAGAATTATCAATACCGTGTAGTAGCAAGAGTTTTTATACTGATTATAATCATTCTAACGACGGAACATTTTCAACTGATCACTTGTTTTTTTTTAATGAAAGCTACCGGGTTATACGTTATCGACCATGCTGATTTTCTAGAAAATTAGCATCCCAGGTCGAACAAGCACGGTCGTAAACGACCGTATACGAAGAAATACGACGATTTACATGTGATCGTATTACGATCGTATATCTCCGTGTCGTATACGGAGCAATACGATCGTATACAGACGAAAAAACGGTCGTTTACGGAGACAATAAATGGAGGCCGTATACGATCTCCGTTTTGCTCCGTTTTTCTCCATATACGGTCGTATACGGTTACGGAGCTATACGATCGTAATACGATCACATGTATTACGGCAAAACACGGTCGTAAACGACCGTATTTTTCCCGTATACGGTCGTATACGATCGTTTACGAACTCCGTAACGTTCGACCTGGGATATAAAGACCTAAGAGAATTTCTCATGATCGACAGTTCATCATTAAGGTGCTGCAAATCTACAATTTTGTGGATCAAAACTCAGATCCGACTTTTTTTTTCCAACCACATCTAGCACTCTGTGTGTATATGAACAAATCAAGGATCAAGGTTTTTAGCTATTCTCAGAAAAAAAGTGAACTTACAGTTATTTCTTGTTGTTCATTTTTCCCTATATAAAAACATTGTTCATGCTGGTCGATACTTACCTATAGGGAACTGTAATTCTACGTTTTCTGTAGATCTAATTCGGACCCGAGAAAATCTAAACCCCTGTACTCGAACTCGAGTCCAGAAGGACTCGTAGTTCTCTACCCATCATTCAATCGCTTTTGGTGAGAAAACAAAGTTAGTTTTCAATACTCGTTCGATTGATGTACTTAAAAACTGAAAATGAAAGTAAAATCTTTCTTCTTCTTTTTTAATAATTCAGTATGAAAATAAGTGATTTCGAAAAAAAAATGACTTTAAATTTTGTCTACTGAAGTCAAACTATTAGTATGAAAAACAATTCATAAAACTAAACCTTTGAATACATTCACTTGTCAGCTTTATAGCTTCGCCTCGAGAACTACAAAAATCACTATTTGAATGGGCTTGAACAAATCATTTTGAACAAAAAAACCCATAGAAGACATCCTAAATTTCTTTCGGGTATTTTTATATCAAATCGTTACATCTTTGAATAATTCTATTGTTTGAATTTTACCCTGAGAACTAAAAAAATAATTTTTAATTTATTATAGTTGTGTAGTATGTGCGAGGGAAGAAGATGAATAATTTATAATTGTTTTTACTATTTTATATACTATATAAAAACTTGATTGATGTCGTCAACGTTAAGACATAGTGCACTTACGGCATTATAGACAATTAGAATGGATATCATTATAATAGTTCTTTCAATTTTCTTTTTTTTTTTTTCTTTTTTTTTTGCCTCGGAAAAAAGAGAGAAACGAGATTGATCGTTAATTTTTTTGCTAACGTCTTATCGATCCGAGTATTTATTAACGTGTACTTACGAGAAAAACATTTACAATTATTCCAATACTAATACATATTCTTACTGTGATTTAACATCATGCGTTATTATCAACATATAATTGTTGCTGCTTTATTTATGCAAGTTAGTAAATTTAATACATTTATTTCATTCGATTGAATATATTTTCTTTTTTAAAATAGTTATTTATTTCATGTTGGGCTCGAACAAGATTTATACCTGATCCATGGCCAGCATCATCATCCTATTGGCATGAAGTTGATGATATTTCTAGCAATGACAACAATGATAATGATATAGCTGATCGAGCTAATCTTTTGACAATGAAAGCTAAAAAAGCATTACATGGTAATTATCCTTTTGGTGGTGAAGAACGACGGAAAAAATATCTTGGAGAATCAGCAAATTTTCATGGTGGACATAGTCTTCAAGGTCTTTGGGCAATGCCAGGACGACGTTAATTATAGAACAGATTAATAAAAAAACAGATGATTATAGTTTACCAAATATATGAAAAAAAAAATATATATATAAAATGGTTATTTGTTTCATCATTATAACTGAAAAATAAATAAGAGAGTTGCTAGGATGGTGAAAAGTTTAATTTGAAATAAAAATAATAAAATAAATTCTATTTTTATTATAATTACTACTATGAATTGTCTGATGTCTATTTAAATGAATACTTCAATGTTGAAAATATTTCAACATTCTTTACTTCTATAGTAGGTTTTTTTTTCTTGGCAATAGAAATAGATAAAGAACAATTGAAGAGAAGATTATTGAACATGTCATGATGTGTTGTTAAATGTATAAAGTTTTGTTCTATTAATAAAAGAAATTAATTTTATACAATCAATTGATATTATCAATTCAACGTGAGATTATTTTTTTAATTTGATATGTTTCAATGTTTATAGAAATTCAAATAAATTGATGATAATTATTAATCAAAATAATAGAAAAGTATTTTGTTTTTAAATATTATTAATAATCTATTCCCTAGAAACCATCGAAATTGAAATAAATGTATCGGAAGATAGTTCGAAATTTGATCTTTCATATATGACATTCTTTTAATTTGATATCTCGTTCTTTATCAAAATTTTTGACAATTTCTGTCATTATTTACTTGAAAAATATGTTGCTTAGAAAAAGTAGGAAATATTTTCCATTTTTTCCCTCTTTGTACTTTTCTGATCACACATCCGAGAATTCTTAAAGAAGCTTTATTGCAGATTTTTTTTGTTTGAACGAACATGTGAAGATGCAATACCTGCTGTTTTTTTGTAGTTGAGCTTTGTTATTATTATATAAACAAGTACTTTTATAAACAGATAGCCATTTTTTGAGAGTTTTTCGAAGTATTGAACTCATCATCCTTTTTCTCCGCAAAAAAAATTAAGAGTTTAAAAAACAAAAAAGGAGATTCTATCATGTCATAATATAGGACTGAAAATTTCATGCAGTTTAAATATGTATAGCTCAAAATCGATTTTTGACGAAGAGGGGTTTACGTGTTGAATTGAAAGAATCAAAATATGAACAAATTTAATGTTGAGATTTAGTAGGACTAGACAAGTATGAACTGTGTCGAATACGAAATTCTCAAACAGTTACAAGAAGAAATACAAACAATAGATTTATAAGATGTCATTTATATATATATATCAAAACAGAATATTGCAAGAATCAACAGTCAAAATATCGCTGTTAATATCTAGTATTATTAAATTAATAATAAAAACATATCTATTACAGTGCGGCTGCCATCGCCATAGTGGTAGCGGCGCGAGAAATATTTTAACAATGCCATTGCGGTAACTTGTTTTTGGAAGAACATTGCAAAAATCCATGAATTTCAATGTCCAGCAATATTACATGCCAAGACTCGATGAATATTATGAATTATTAATAACAGTTCTAGTTTAGTACAATCATAGCAGTACAATTCAAAATATTTTTTCGAAATATCCTTGCGGTAGGTTTTCATCCGCGATGGATATTGCTATCTGGAATATTCTGCTCATCTTTGGGATTTAGTTTTAATTATTAAAAGAAATTTCTTGCGAATTAAAACACAGACATAAACTAGATGGTTATGTCGATTCTATGATTGCGTATAATTATATCTATCTTGTTATGTATTTCAGAAATTTTACTTTAATATTTTATTCTTTACACAAAATTTTATACAGTTTTATTTAAGAAGCATCGCTATTTCATGTTAAGAGTGTGACTTAACAAATTCTAATAAATAAAAATATCTCTTAATCTTTTTAAACTGTCTTCAAAATTTAATCTTCGAATTTACGAGATAATTTTCTAGTTTTGAAATTGTTATCTATCATTTTCACGAAATATAAAAACTAAACGTTTGATAACTCATATGAAAAAACGAATCCTATGGTCAATTCTCAGAAGCGAAAAAACATGCATGAACAAGACGATCGAACGCAAGAAGCCACCAATATCCAAGAGATTAAATACCAATCAATAACGCACACGATAAAAATTCGAATAAGAAAACGCTATTCATTTTTAAGACATTCATACTAATTCGATTGTTATAATCTTTTATTAATTTCTTATTTTAAATAGATATGAATGTATTATTGATTTGTAATAAGCTTTCATTATTATTTTTCGATGATTTAGATAGATAGATGAGTGGTGCTCATTTCTGATTGGTATATTGTTTTTGACCAATGATTAACTATCCAGAGAGTTGTTTCATCAGAAATATATTTTTATCATGAAAGAAATAATTATAGATTTCATTTTGAAAAGTATATAAGATTTTACGAATTTCTTCTATTCATTACAACAAAACGAACCCAATGAGTCAGTGATAATGATCATATAGGAAGTATTTTTAATATTAAGTACCCCAAACAAAAGTAAAGTATCCACGGTACTTACGATTTTGAAAAAGTACGTTATTTATTGTTTAGAACGCGTGGAAAAAGTTAAATGGTAAATTATCAATTAGTACTTTTCTTGAAATTCCTATTAAAAACGCTGCGTATATCTGTATTATATTCATCTATTGTGTTCTTCCAAAAATTAAACTATAAAATCTGAAATGTTTTTTAAAAAAAAAATCATTTTTACTCTATTTTATAGAATTAAAAATTTTAAACATCAGAACGATCACCGACTGAGCAAATCTATGATTTCAATAAATGATCCGACCTTGGTTATACGACTAGTTTAATGGTTCTATCACAATTTTATTGAACAATTACATGATCTATCATATCCATATTATCATCGTCAATTTAGTACAGTAAAAACAAATAGATGAATATGAAATTCAAGATTAAATATATTTTTATGAAATTGAAATGACTTATTTACATATATGTATTAGATAAATATGCAAAAGAAAAAGATGCTTTATTTGAATCACATGTTAATTGGTATTAAAAATATCTTATGATATGGATGCATCGTCATCCAGAAGTTGATCTTAAACGATGGATAATTGAACATGATTATGAACGAAAAACAAAAGATTATATAAAAATTAAACGTTTATTTATTTTTTTTTCTTTTGATTTGTAGATATGCAACAAATGAAAACATCAAAATTGACTATAGATCGTTTTGATCTATTTACAATTATTTTTGATATTTTAATTTCAATTCTTGGTAGTCTTGTTGTTAATCGACTTATACCAATATTAAAAGAAAAGTTTATTAAAGCACAATTATGGGGACATGATTTAAATAAACGAAATTCAACAGAAATAAAAGTGTAAGATCAAGAAAATATTTCTTTTCAAGTCTTTTTCTCTCTGAAAAAAGTGAAAAATATCTTGTGCCATACATCATCCGATGTAGTTTTGAATATACATCATTGATTTTCAATCGACATCCTACTTAAAATTTGTAACAAGAATTTTTACGCCATTACATAGGGCATGTCTTAAAATATATTTATCTCTATTTGAATTAAGGAAAGGGTAACTTTCGTTTTTCCTGAATGAATATTATGCTTTCCATAATAGAAGATTCTCCATAGTTACAACTTTAATTACTATCTTTACATAAAACTATGCTTAATTTTCAAGATTTTGAGTTGAAAAATATTAAAAGGCAAAGGCTAACATTTTTCAAGTGATCGAATGATTCATCGCAAGATTGTTTCTCGCCAGTGCGAGTAAGGCTCTTTTGAAGAGTAATTTACCCGGGCAACGAATTGTCCTAGCACAGAGCTTTTAAAATTTCTCAAAATCGTATTATTGTTGGGAAAAAAAAACATAAAAATACATCAAGTACAATAAAAGATTTGCTTAAAAAAATTTTTACACCTGAACGTAATAGAAAGCTTTAGGTCCTCCCTTGCAAAGACAAGTTTACTCTCCATCTTTAATACATAAAGTTGAATATTTATTCAGAAATGTTTAATGGAAATCTTATAGATGACAGACCATATATGATTTTCCTTTTAGTGCAGAATCTCAAGGTGTTATAGCGGCAGGCATTTTTCTTATATTAATGTTCATTATGATTGCTATTGTATTTTCTGAACATTTACATCCAGAAAGCGTTTTTCCACATAATAAAGTAAATATTTTTTTCTTTTGTGGAATAAAAATAATTGTTGTGTTTTTTTTTGTTTTGAAGTTTGTTGAATATTTAGCTGCTCTACTCTCTATCTGTTGTATGGTATTACTTGGTTTTGCTGATGATGTACTTGATTTACGTTGGAGTGTCAAATTATTATTACCATTAATTGCATCATTACCACTTTTACTTGTTTATTTTGCTAATTATCATTCGACAACTATTATTTTACCTAAACCGGTACGACCATATTTAGGTCAACAATGGAATCTTGGTATGAATGAATAATGATTTAAGTAAAATTAACAAATGTTTCATTTTGATATAGGTATTCTATATTATATTTATATGAGTATGGTAGCTGTATTTTGTACGAATGCAATAAATATTCTAGCAGGTGTCAATGGACTTGAAGTTGGTCAATCTATTGTTATTGCAATTTCAATACTTATTTTTAATCTAGTTGAATTGCAAGGTTAAGTTTTTTATTTTTTTTTATGAAAAATAAATTCACATAATGAATCATTTTTTTTAGGAATTTGTTGGGAAGAACATCTTTTTTCACTTTATTTTATGATCCCATTTATTGCTTGTACATTACCAATTTTAATTAAAAACTGGTTTGTTTGGTTTTTTTTATATTTCTTATCACAAATGAAAAATTTTTGTGAAATACGATCTAGAAGGAGTGTTGAAATGAGATGTGTCCGAATTCCTTGAATTCTGAACTCATGGAACTCGAACAACTGAAGCAATTCTAAGAACTCAAAACTTTGTTAATATTTAGATAACAAATTAACTCTAACGTTTCGAGAGTTCTATGAGCTCCAGGAAAAATGAAGGGTCGCCACATTTTCTATGGCCTTCTCTTAAGAGTTTAAAGCATTACAAAAACTGAAAAAAGGCGGTTTTTAGTTGATGTTTTGATAAATTTTGTTTTTTGAATGGTTTTTGTGTAATACTCTTAAGTTTCTAAGGAAAGATCATAGAGAATGCGGTGATCCCTCATTTCATTCAGAACTTTGTACTCTTTAAAATGGTGTTGTTAAAAATTAGCTGCTGGAACCTGAAAATTAGTATGTCCGATTTTTTTTCTAAACTTTGCCATCATGGTGTATTTGTGCAATCTTGGTATAGAACGCATTTGATAGAAAACTTCATTGGTTATTAAAATTACTATCTAAATAACGGGTGATCCAAAAGTTTCTGCAAAAATGTCGCTTCATTTTTCATCGGCTACAACACGTCTTATAAAAGTAAAAAACACCTATTCAGAATCTACGTTGAAAGCGCCTTCTAACTGCATATTCAAAAAATTTCTATTATGTCTTATCTTTGAGTAATGGCCATGTTCCTAAACGAGACCAAAATTTATTCTGTAAAAAGTAACTCATAATGGTTGTGACAGAAGGAACTAATATTTCAGTATTTTTCGAATATCTTTTATGCATTTCATTATACACTGTTGTTCTTTTTTCATTACACTCGTCGTTTAATTCTCTGGAAACCTGATAGAAAATACTATGGCATTGTTTAAAGATTGGTTCTTTCTGCCACACTCATTGTGGATTGCTTTTTACAGTAGTAATACATTTTAGTGCCATCTGAGGATGTAACCGTCACTCACAGGCAACATATTCTAGAAATCTTTTGAACATACAATTAGATAGCCATTTTAACGTAGATTCTGAACAAGTATTTTTTATTTTTACAAAACATGTTATGGTGTGACTGATGATAAACGAAGTGACATTTTTTCAGGAACTTTTGGATCATCCGTTACTTAATATTATAGAATAAAATCAAACTTACGTAGCATTTTTCCACTATCTTACTTCCTTATTGCATTTCTGGAGAAATTTAATGAAGAAATGTGTTTCAAAATAAATAGAATAAAATAATCTTTCTGTGATGATCAAAAGCAACTACATCGTATTTCACATTTCGAAATTTCACTAATAACTTTATTTATTATATTTCTTATCATAAAAAATAAATAGGTATCCAGCAGAAATCTTTGTTGGTGATACACTTTGTTATTTTTCTGGTATGACATTTGCTGTTGTTGGTATAATTGGTCATTTTAGCAAGACAATGTTACTTTTTTTTATACCACAAATTATTAATTTTCTTCTATCTATACCACAATTATTTCATTTTATTCCTTGTCCACGACATCGTTTACCAAGGTAGATGTGTTAATTTTAAATTTTATGTTTCGTTATTTTTTTTTTTTTGTTTTCTTGACTTTAGATTAAATCCAGAATTGAATAAACTTAATGCATCTGAAGTTGAATTTAAAAAAAGTGATTTAAAAAAACTTGGTTGGTTAATGTTACGTTTTTTTTTCAATAACAAAATTTATTAATTATCGAGAATATCTCAATAATGATGGTGAATTAATGATTTCAACAATAAATTTTACTATTATAAATACAGTTCTTTGTTGGTGTGGTCCATTACATGAAGAAAAACTTTCTCGAATATTAATTCTTATACAGGTTAGTGTATAATGTTATAATAATTTATTAATCTAATTAAAAAAAAAATATATGTAATTTAGATTGTATTTGGTACTTTATTAACATTTTTCATTCGTTATTATTTGGTGAAATTCTTCTACGATTCATAATTATTATTTTTCAAACATTCTACTTTTTATTTATTAAAATGACAAATAAATTCTTTGTCTTTTTCTTTTTTTTTTTGAACTAAAAACACATTGAAAATTATTCTTTTAGTTTTCGATAATAATACATACAATTAAGAATATACGATTTTGAACACAAAGAATAATAAATTGATGAAATGAAAAGTTCATTTTTCTTTTTTTTTGGTCAATGATAACAAAAGAAAATATTTTAGGTGCAAGTAATGATTTTTTGTTTTATTGATTGTTTGTTAATTAGAGATGTTGAAGAAATTTGATTTGAATTGAATTTAATTCGTCGAGTAAGTCGAAGTCGAGCAAGAAGTATTTCTTCAGAAGGTGGTTGTTGAATTTGTTTTATTTTACTTGTACAAAATGCTACATGACGATCATAAGCTTTTTCACAAAATTTACGTTTACATATTGGACAACCTATATTAAT